AGAAAAAAAAAGACTTAACGGTGGAATATTTTGCAACGGGGGGGGGGGGGGGGGGTGAAATTCAAAACATTTTTCCATTTCATTTGAGAACATTTGTTTGGAGAAAATATTCCATCTCACTTTGCTGTGGCTGGATGGAGATCAAACAAGTAGGTGGTAGTGACCACGGTCTCGGCTACTTTTGGGTTGGGGGCAGTGTTCGATATCCAGAACCAAATCTGTTGCCCTTATTCTTTGTTAGTCTTTGGGGGTGCGGTGGGGTGGGTAAGGTATGCAAAAGCATGCAAATCATCCTTTAACGTTAGTTTGAAGAAAGCAGCCCTTCCCCAATCACGACCGTGTCTCTTGATTAAAATTCACTTAATTAATGATCATCAGAAGGACCGCTCCTGTGGATTATCACTGCTCTCCAATTAGCTCACAAATCACATGCATGCATGTCGCCCCCAAAGGCTGATTCTGGATGCCTTCCCACAGCCAAGAGTTAATTACGGCTTCCCGACGTTTACCGCCAAAAGCATACTTACATTTTCCTGGTTCCGTTTTACTTTCCTCCGTGAAAATGAGGCAAAGCAAACAGATGCAAATCAAGCGGATGTGTTCCAGATTCCACATTTTCTTCGTGGAGGAAAGGGAAATAGGAGATCTGTGGTGTAAAAAAGCTGTGCAGCTCTAGGAGAAGAAATATATAGTCTTATTTAGAAGGGAGCCTGCTCTTCACAGTGAATTCTTGCAAGAGAATTATTTTTCAAGTGAAAAAAAATGAGTTGAACCAGGAAAATGGGACCAGAACTGGCCTTTGTTCTCCTGCAAAGTTCTCAAGAGGCATTTTGCCAGGTTGATATGCCTGCTTTGAGAGGGTTTCTGTGCTGCAGCATGTTTTGGAATACATTATGAGCATGCTTGCACTTAATGCTGCCCCCCACCCCCACCTAGGGACATTGGGGAGAAATTAATTTAATTGGCATTGAAATGGAAGGCTTATCTAATTTTATTTTTTGAGGCAGAACCCCAATCGGTACGCAGCTAGCACAGGAAATCGTCAGTTGCTCTCTACAGTATTTCTAACGTAGTTTGGAAATAATGATTGTGTTAAAAAGGAAAAGAAATCTGTAGAAAAAGCAAGTATTTGGGGGAAATAATGAACAAAAGGCGTCCAAATTGTTTGAAAACTGGGTATATGGACCATGAAGCCACAATATGCCTGCCTGGAGAAATCTGCATCATCAGAACATAGAATAACAGAGTCAGAAGGGACCTTGGAGGTCNAATGTGCTGCCAGCTCTGCTGGCAGGCCACAACAAAACCATATTTCAGTTTCCAAAACAAACTTTCATTTTTCAGGCTATTTGAAAGCACCCAACTCATTCAAACTGGATCATGATTTAGCTCCTTTTTTGGGTCTGCACAATAAATGGACTGATAAAATAACAAAGAAGCTCAGTTCTAAGTTTTAAAAAAAACACTTAACCAGTGTTAACACTAGCCTAGTTCACATGTTATGCTGAAGCAGACATTAGGCCTTTAAGTGACCTGGTTAATTATGAAGGCAACCCTTTGTTTGCCCTGGGATTTGTTCCTGAGAAAACAAGCTGGTTTTATGCTGAGTAACTTGGAGTTTATATAACGTCAGGACCGATGCAAATTAAACACGTAGCATCAACCTGAACTGAGGAGATCCATAACAAGAATGTTGCTGAGATGAGCCCTTCAAATCTGGTCACCCCAATCAACTTTCCATCCTGCTTCGAGAAGAAAGAAAAATCCAAGGAAGGTTTGGCGGCTCATGCAAAAAAACAAACCAGCTTTCATTTTGGGTGAGTGCAGACTGAACAAAATGTTCATACCAGAGAGGCAATGAACTGGAAATGCCACTTGGAGTCCATTGGCCTCGCTTGGAGCACAGCTATCTGCACACACCTCAGCCGAATAAATAAGCTTATTTGGACCACCTCCATCTTTTCCCCTTCGGCTTGTTAGAGTTGTTGGGATAAAGATAGAAAACTATTTTAATTTGGTTCTTGAATTTGGTTACAAAATATAGAGGGAAACACAGGATGTGTGAAAAACAGCCAGTGAAAGCGATTCCTGTGATATTGCTGCCCTGCTGAAAAATCTCCCTGCGTTTTTTTTGGGGGGGGGGGTCTTCCGGTTCTTATTCCACTTATGGAAATTGTCTTCCGAGAACTACAGTAATAGATTTGCAAACCATTCGCTCTGCATTTCTGTCTTCGATGATGCTATGACTTTTCACTCAACTCTGAACTTTTCATTTTATATTTACTCTTTCATTCAATTGATTCATTAATTAAGCTTAGTTTGGTGGTCACCAGACTAACCACAACAGACAAACTGCCACTTTGCCAAGGATTTTAAAAATAGAATGAAATCTGGATACAGGCTGTTCTTGACTATGGAGAGCAGTCCATATTCTCCTTCTTTCCTTCTACCTCCCTGCTCCTGCCTCATCCTCCTGCTCCCCCCCCATCGTCCTTCGTTTAGATCCATGATGGTGAACCTATGGCACATGTGGTCTCAAGCTGTTGCCCATTGCTCTTCCAGGTCCGGTGCGCCGGCCAGCTAGTCTTCACATGTGCATGCTGGGAAGATAATCTTCCAGTTTCCGGCACTCACATGTGCACTGGCCACCTGGTCTTCTGCTTTCTGGCGCATATGCGCACAAGAAGACCAGCTGGCTGGTGTGCATTTGCATGCCGGAAACCAGAAGATCATCTTCCCAATG